GGAATAAAAGATGAGATAGGGGACATGTCACCAGAGAGGACAGTGAAGACTTCTTTCTTCCTGTCCAGTGTGGAATGTTTTCACGTTTACTTCCTTCAGCATGGCCATCTCCCCAGAGGCAAGGAGGTAAGCAGCTAAGCAGGAGGCTCCTACATATGAGGGTGAGACGTTGACTCCCTGCTCTCTAGGCCACCCAGCTGGGTCACTGTTTCTGAGTGGCTGTTTTAAGTGTTCACCTTTATACGTGGGAAACATGTTCTTTGTATTTTTTTTTTTTATAAAGGCTACTACAGGACTGTGCAAATGGCTTAGTTACTGAAGTACTTACCTTGCATGCATAAGGACCTGAACACACTTAGAAAAGCCAGACATGGTAATGTGTTCTCTCCCCTCTAGTGCTGGGGAGGTAGATATAGGTGAATCTCTGGGGCTCCCTGGCCAGCCAGCCTAGCTGAATTGGTGACTTCCAGGCCAGTGACAGATGCTATCTCAAAAATAAGACAGGTGGCATTTGAGGAATGACAGCTGAGGTTGTCCTCTGGACTCCACATTATACTCAACACACATAAATGTGCACACACACACACACACACACACACACCCCACATACATGCACACAGACAGATAAAATCCATCTGGTCATAGGTCTCAACAATGTTTGAATCATAACAGACCATAGCTGATGGTGGCCTAAGATTTCATTGTAAAATTAGTGATGTCTTGGCCAAGTTTAGTTTGTGTGAACATACAGAATGGTGTTTAATAATCAGTTTCTTAGACTATCTCCCATTAAGTAATATAGCAGTGTGTGTGTGTGTGTGTGTGTGTGTGTGTGTGTGTGTGTGTCTATTTACTGGATCAAATAAGATACATCTTTCATATTGGCTTGAAGAGACTTTTAAATGCTCTTTAGTTTATTGATTAGCTTAACAAATACTGAAAACCTGTGTGTCACTACATGCTGGGATCATGAGATGATGAGGTGTAGGATGAGACCACTGCCCTCCCGAGCTTGCCATTCACTGGGAGATTCGGTCTCCTTGTCCATGTAGTAGTGAGCAAGGCAGAGGTGTCTGTAGTAGAGGGAGGAGAGAGTTGCTAGTCAGTCTTTACAGATCCTTGAAGTCCAGTAGAAACATTGACTCTAGCCTCAGAGTAATGGGGAGCCAGCAGAGATGGGGAAATGGGGGTAATCTTGACTGTCAACTTGGTTGCATTGAGACTTGCCTAGCAGGTTCATAAAGCATGCCTCTGGGTGTGTCTGTGAGGGTGATCCCTTTAGGGGTGGGGAACCTTCCTTGAGTGTGGGTGGCATCATCATGTAGCTTGGGGGCCCTGGTGAAATATAAGAGGAAAAGGGAAAGAGCCCATAGACACAGGGTTCTCTCTGCTTCCTGGCTGCCTTGATGAGGGCACTCTGTTCCATTTTGCCTTCCCACCCTGACAGACGGAGACTCTGAGACGTAGCCAGATGACCCAGTCCCCCCTGAAGCTGATTGCTCAGATTTATTTTCTTTTTATCAGTAACAATTTTGATGGACATTGGAGGGTACTTGGGGGATTATGTTGTAGCTAGACTTTTCCGCCTTGCCCACAGTCAGGACAAATCTCTGTCACCCGCCAGTCCCACAGCCGCTCAGACCCAACCAAGTAAACACAGAGACTTATATTGC